ATGACTAGTGGAAACCTTCTTGCTGCACTTGTAGAAAATTACCCGTAAACCCCCGAAGCAGATGTTCATTCCTCATTGAAAATACAGAACTCAGTAATAATTTAGTGAACAATCTAAATTTGTTACCATACACAATGCGTGATGCGGCTAACATGTATATGACGAAGCAGCAAGTGATATTAAACAAAAGTTTCAATGCGGATCTAGTCACTGGTTTTCGATTAAAGTTTGCAAATTGCAACTTTATTTATTTAAATAAATTTTTTCATTTAATAATTTAAATAATTCAATTCATAGTCACGGAATATGCAATCGCTGGTGTAGCGAAATCCGTAACAATATTGCATCTCAAAGTGATCAAGCACCTGCGGTGGGTAAGGTCCAGATGTGGTTAGCTGTTTTCCCGATATTTTGCACGACGAGCTCGTATCTGCTGACGGCGGCGTGGCATATCTAGGCGCATTTTGCAGTACAATGATGCCATGCAACGTTTGCGGAAAAAAATTGAAAAGGTGGAAACTTGGACATAGTTCTTTTATGATGGAGATCAGCTCCATGATCTTCTTATTTCTCACGGGATTGCTCGGCATATAAATCCTATGACAGAAATTACCGACATTTTGATCCATTGCGTGCACATTGTAAAGGTATGTTAATCCTAAGGAAGAAAAGAAATAACAGGAAAGTTTGTCTACTTTGGAATGCCCGTCTTTCTTCACTTTCATGATTGGGCTTTTCATAGCGCCATTCTTCTCATTAACGCAAAGTGGTGCAACGCTGATCTCGGTTTCTATGCCATCAGTCAGGAGTACCTCGTTTTTTTAAAAGCAGATACTGCAGCCATGTAGCAAGTGTAGCGTGTAGTTTTCTGTTTTCTTCCCGAAGAGTGGTACTCATTTATCAACCTCTATCGGGCCTTGAATTATGGACCTATCGATTCCAGTCTCTAGGCTCTACTGACTACGCAACTCACGGTCTGAAGAAATATATTGTAAATTTCTAGCTCAAAAGAATTCGCTAACAAGACAAAGACTGCCCTTGGGCGGAATCGAACTCGGTACCTCCAGAGTTCGAAGCAGACCAGTTAGACAATGTGCGAACGTCATAAGAAAAATAGAGACCGTGGAACTAATCACACGAATAAAAGAACAATGTTTAATTTTGGAGTCTTTCGACCTTATACCAAAAAACATTTGCAATGTACCTAGAAAAGTCACGACTTCGGCAGAAAAACAGAGCTAGTCGGCCAAAAAAATGGAAGCCAAACTACACAACGTTCCGACCCTACCCACG